AATAATCATTATTGATGGTAACTGCCGCTAATGCCACGGGCTCTCTGTGGTGGCCATATGATAAAGCTCCTGTGAGAAAAATGTGTAAATACAGAGCTTCGCAGAGGAGAAGAACGGGGTCAGATTGCTGCTTCCCGCTTAGGATGTTTAATATTCCAAGAGACATTTTAAAGCAGCGACTTTGGCTCCCTGTCTGCTACTTTCTAATTAAAGCACAGATAGATGATTCCGCAGAGGCAAGGACACATAAGTTGGGAGAGATAATTTAGCCTAGCGTACCTCATCCTTAACACTTCATTTATTGCTAAATATCATCTGTTTCTGAGCGACCCCGGTGCTTCTGCACCAACAGCCTTGGCAGCTGCTCGAGGCGACTGCTGCGACTCACCAGGGCCCCGACAGCGAGAACGGCCGCGCGGGGCCCTCTGCAAGGCCCAGAGCACGGGCAGCCTCGGAGATGCGAATGCAGCAGGAGAGGGGAGAAGGGGGGAAAAATGCAGCTTCTCTAGTTTCCTGCAAAGAAAGAAGGGGATTTGGCTTTCTATTTGCAGCTCCATTCCACTCGAGCTCATCACGCAAAGGTCTTCTACCGCTTCCCTCTCCTCACCACAAACCAGCACCTAAATTCAGCGCCTACATTTGAGTGGAGGAGAGAACATCTAAAATTACATTCAAAACACCCTGGAGTCTGAAGAAGCAGAGAATACGGTCGGGCTTCCTAGTGACTTTAATAAGGTTTCCATCAAGGCCATTTCTGCACTTTCACACGTCTATCTCCATGTGAACGGCCCAGTTCAGGAGCACGTGGTGATGAGAAGAGGGAGCAGAAGACAGAACTTTTCAAAGCTGATTGCGTTAGAGGCCCATTTTCAGTCTGGGAAAAAGCCTAGTTTGCATTTCAATCCCAGTGGCTTCGCACGAGGCTGTTACGTGCATCTAAAACCATTACGCCTAAGAAGGCTGTAACAAGCAAAGGTGACTCCATTTCTAGGAAAAATGGCCCATCTTACTGGCAGTGTGATTTTTTTTCTGCCTTTCCTTTTTACCTTTCCCACTCTTTACTTAGAAACTTGCAGCCTCCACTATTTTATACCAAAAACTGTTTGTAAAGCAAGAATTGTGCTGATCGCATCAAAACCCATTAATATAACTTGTTTTTCCATTATTAGCACCATCTGAGCCTGTTGAAAGCCTTAACCAGGGCTTTAATTTTTCCACAGAGAGCTTTAAATTAATTAGTGGTTTACACGCTAACAAAGAATCTGATACATTCATAAATCAATCTAATGCAGAAGGATTACCAGAGGGTGGAAACCTATTCAGCGGGGACCTCACACTCAGTTAACATGGTGTGTTTTTAACAAAAGGGTGCAGGTGTGAAATAGATGGATACAGGGAGCCCCCGGTAATCACTTTGCATCACTTAAATCCACAGCAGGACACATAGCAAATCAGAGCCTAGGGCCCACCCTAAGTGAAACCCATGTAGGCATTAAAGGCAGCACCAGGGCACTTTAACCTCCGCAAGGGACCTGCCCGAGGGGTTTCATTTCTTTTGTGTAGGTTACAGGCCAGTGAACTAATGGAAAATAGAGTAGAATTAAAGTACCTGGATACAGAAGTACAAACTGATGAAAGAACTGTGGACACGCACACATGGAGGTATTGAATAAATAAGAACTCAAATATTTTTTTTCTTGGAAATTATTAATTTGATCCATGTTAATAAAACATAATGTAATTGTGTAGACTTTTGGCTTACTCCAGGTTTCTAATCTAGGTTTCACTTAATGTTATCTTGAAAACCCTGCTGTGTAAGAAGAATGGAAGCATTTTTCTCATTTTTCCTAATCAGGCACCCTTCACCCCTAATGAAACTTCACAGAAAATGAGCACTTCTTCAGGCCCTGCTCTGTGTCCGAAAGATTGAAACTCTGACTTCAAAGTTTTATAGATTTTTTTTGATTAAATGAGTGCAAAACCCAAGGAGTTTGATGAGAAAAACTGTCTCCAGTTTTTACCATGTTCTGAAATAAACTCTTCACCTAGTTTGAAAGCTGTTAATTTTAATAATACAATCTCTGTCAACACAGACACCTTCAGTCTTCAGTCTTCATACGGTTCAATCAATCAGGACCATATGCCTATGAAGGCATCATTTGCTTTTCTTTTACAAAAACGTAAAATATCTCCACTGAGTCAGAAGCAGCATGACTAGAACAGCTGAACTCGCACATTAAAGGGCCTCAGAGCTACAGAAGGAGCCACCCCACAGTGCAGGCTGATGCTGTTCATACTTTTCGTAGCTGGTTGGTAAACCAGTTGTACACCTTGGTAATGAGGAACCATCGACATTTACTAATAGTGGTTCATAAAATAAAGCAACCTCAGCAAGTCACCAACAATTCACAGTCTAAATTTATCCAGTTCTCCAATTTGAACAATTCCCTACTGTCACTCAATCCTATGTATGAGGTATCCTGTTTGCAAGAGTCACATGGAATAACCATTAGAGCTCATTCATGTAGAAGTGAATATGCATAAAAAACAAATCTTAATCTCTTCTTTTATAGTACCTTCCAGTACCTATCTACTTTCAGTAATAAATCAGCCATGTAAAATGTGGCACAGGGACACACTAAAAAAAAGAAGAAACCACACACTTCCTAGAGGGCTGACGTGGGACACACATTGCTGCCATATAGTGCACACAAGGCTTTAAAAAAAAGTCTCGTAAAAACGCATTTTATCATACTCGACACACGTTATTTCTACAGATATGCAAACCCATTTCTGAACAAAGATGTCACAGCCTAAGTAGTATCAACAACACTTGCTTAATAATTATTTTTCATTATTGTTTTAATGTACGAATAAGCCTCATTGCAGCAGTTCCTGTAATGGTGGGTGACCAGGAGTGCAGCAAGTCTTTCCTGCCTATAACTACAACGGGGCTGCACTCAAAAAGGCAACAGCCGGTTGAAAATTACGGTGAGAATTAACCAGCAACCCCCTGTGCAGGGCAGTACAGCTTAAACCACACGTTCTCCATGTGATTCCTGCGGGAGGGTAATCGTGAGGAGTAGCCACAACTTTCTCGCACTGTGATTAAATGGGTGCCAAATTGAAAGTAGGCAGGAGAGGCTAAAATCCAAATTAACCTTTTTTTAACTGTATTTTTTTTTAAATAAAAAACACTAGCACTGTATCCTGTGCTAATGATAAGTCATCCCGCAAATGTCTGCATGACTCCTTGCTTGCTTCTCCAGACGTGGGGCTGTAAATCCAGAGCAGGCATCTTCAGCTTTGTTCACTCCCTGCCAAGTCATCCTTACGGATGAAAACGTTCTCCAAGAGACCGAGCAAAGCACTAAAGGTGACATGTGCTTTCACCTGTGCTCTGCCCCAGAGAAGACACAAGCCCCCCGAAAACCTTCACATCCACAGGTGAAAACACACACTCTCACAACAAACCTTCAATCTATGCTTAAAACCTGGCTTCTCAGCCCAGGAACCTGAGGCAGATATCTGGGGTTTTCACTTTGGTCCTATTCTTTATAGCTACATGGCAGGTATTCTCCTGGTTTTTCTCTTGAAAGCCATGCTATGGTATCAAAACTCTTGAGAACTTACCAAACAGAGGAAAAATGATTCCATGCAGTCCCTCAGGTCCAAAAAATACATATGCAAAAGGTTATTGAACAAAATAACTTTTAGCTACTTTAACTAAATTTTCATTTTTCATTATCACTAAGGAATCATAATCACTAAGGAATCATTTTCACCAAACGTGCCATTTCTGAGAGAGTAAGATCTTTTAGCAGATCACTCGTTATTACTGCTTATCTCCCATTACGAATTATTTCAGCACAACAAACCACAAATTTATAGGATTGTTACCCAAGACGTAGGTTCTCTGGAATCATGTATACCAAAGAGACTGCCAGGTTGAGAAGGTTAATCAATATTGGATATTTCATAAAATCTGAAATTATCCCACTAAGTATATTTTACACTCAATATATGGCATTAGTTCTATGCCTTCAAGGGAAAGCTAGTTTAAAAAATTGAAGGAAACATTTCAAATATAGTAAACATCCTTCCCAGACTTTGAAAAAATATTTACCCTTAAAACTAAAAATGTAATTGCAAAACTAATGCCTGGACTTGCTGTTTTCTTGCTCAGGCAAAATTCCCTTGGCAGTTGGTGGGAGTTTTACCTCGTTGCAGGACTACAGCTTGGCACGCTGAAGTTTGTGCCGTGGTCCCTGCAGAGCCCCTGCCCCGCACACACTGCGTCTCCACGTGCCCAATCTCCCCGATGCCTTCGGGCACGCAGCGAAACCCTCGCAGGGCCAAAGCAGAGCGGAGGGCAGCGGAGCGGGGTTGTCCCGGGGTACCCAGGGCTGGGGGCAAATCTGCAATCCCTGCCACAGCGGCTATTCCTAACACCAAGGGACTGGTTTTTAAGCTTTCCAAACTCACCTGCTTGATCCCGCTGAATCCCAAGGCCCTTAAATGCAGGCAGGGACCAACCAACCTCCCCCAGGCGGGAGGTGCCCGCAGGGTGAGCGTCCCTAGGAACGTCGCTGCGGAGCGATAGGGCGCTCTGCAAACGGGCAGCTGTGCTTAGCCCCAAAGTCGGCCCTTTCAATTTTCGCCCCCCAGCCTAATCTCATGAATTGGTACATGAAAAATGGAGATTTTTCATTTTTCTTTTTTTTTGCAAGAGCACTGCATGATTTTCAGTATTATCAAGGTGACTTTTTTCTTAAGCCTTCGCATTTCCATTCTTCCGCTTTTCCACGGTTGAAAGATGTATTGGGAGATGGAGTTTACTGTATTTGCAGGTGGAATTGCCCTCCCGCACCCACGGCCTTGCTCACAGCCCCCGTGCCAGCAGGCGCCGCGGGCAGGGAACGGCAACGCGCTGCTCCCTGCGGCAGCCTCTCCCGGAGGGAAGCTCCCCGGGGCCGAGGGACGCGACGGGGGCTTCTTACCATGGCTCCTTGCCGCTCGCTGTGCGCGACCTCCCGCTGCAGCCGCGCCACGGACAGCTTCTCCCTGCGGAGAGAAAAGCGCGTGAGGAGCCGCTCGCCTCCGCCCGGCCCGGGCCCGCGCGGCGCGCCGGGACCTGCGTCTCTGCAGCGTCTCGCAGGCCTTTTATCATTGCATCTGGGGGTGGTGGGACAAACCCGGGCCTGGATAAACCCAGGGTCTCTCACCCGCATTGCTCCGGCCCAAAATGTCTCCTGGTTCTGGCCATGGGGGAAACCGCCCCGCGTTAGCTACTGCCCAAGGCCCTCACCACCCTCTGCACAGCACCAACGCCGGCCAGCTGAGAGGTTTCCATAGGCAGATCCATAAAAATGTGCTTTAAAGAAACTAATCTATTTATCATTTTGTAGCTACTGAACTATAAGACTTTTTTTTTTTTTTTAAATCAACCTGTTTTTTTTTATACCCCTTCATACCACACAGCAACTAGTTTGCTTAAGTAAGGGTCTGGTGGTCGCAACAGCCACTCTCCTGAAAAGCTGTGAGCAATGTATGGAAAATACAGGTGTAGTGGGTGTGGAAGAGGAAAGGGGCAGTTAATGCACGGGCCGGGCCGGGGCAGCACACGCACCACGGGGAGGGCAAACAGGCAAGTCCTGGGCCCAGCCTGGGCACAGGGAGCCTGGGCACAGGGCTGGTGAGGCAGAGCAAGAGGGGAATTTGCCCTGGCGGCTGAGCAGGACAGAGAACAAAGAGCTCAGAGGATACCTGAAGCAACCATCCATCCATTCAAAGTGGATTTGAGAAAAAACACAGGCATTTTTCCACACTTTTTTTCTTTAAGAATACCACCTACTTGTAAAAGAAAAGTGATCTGCAAAAGGGTCAGAAAAATTCACGAGTACACAATAAAATACGAACTTTGCAGATGAACAAATTATTGGTAAGAAGGATCTGAGCCACCTGAGTGTCTTGTAGCACTTACCTGGGATATGACACCATAGTAACTGCAGCAGAGGTTTCAATTCAAGTGTAACATGTGCAACGGCTCGAGCGTTTGGGGACAAGGCACCGGGCAGGCAGTGACCGGCTGCTCGTTTCACCCGCACTACACAGCCCACGGGCCAGGGGTTACCCTAACAAACCTTCCTGAAAACTGGGGGGCAAAATAAAACCAAGAGACCCACAGCTTATGGCTGGGCATTGCAACCCTAAAGCCTTGAAAATGCACAGGGAACATTTTCAGACTTCTGTAGTTCTGCTGCGGTAAAGAACAGGACTGCCCAAGCCACAGCAAAATCCCAATGCTGCTGAGCCTTGGTGAGGTGAAGGCCCCTGGGACACCCAGCACCTCTTCTGTAACAATTCCTGCCATCAATTAGCTCACTTCCACTCATCAAAAACCCCTAAATGATATATCCTATACTTCTGCTCATGCAATAAACGCAGCCTTTAATCCCATGAACCCAACTCCCAGGCACTACTTCTGCCAGGGAAGACATATCTATTAGTACTGTCCTAATTACTACAGGAAGCGATAGCGCTTGTGTCATTTGGCCATAACTCAGCACATACTTTGGGTCATTAAAGCAGCTCTCTCTCTCCTCCTCTCTCCATTTAAGCAGAAAGCTCAGTGTTTCGGGTGAGTTTTCCTAGCAGCCACCTGCTTCCGTATCCTAGAGGGTGGCTGGAGCATCCAGTTTTTGGAGATGCCGAGGACAGGACGCTGGGGCTTCAAGACTCGGCTCTGCCGCTCCACAAGGGTCATCCTCATGTCTCCTAATCAGTCACATCCTCCGGGGTACAGGCAAAAAACACTGCACCGCCTGGCCAATGTTGTGAGAATAAAAGCTGTTTTTGCTTTGCAGAGGGCCAAGCAATGCTGGGAAACCTTGCACAGAGGTGTACATTCCTGGCCAGAGAGCTCTGCGCTACAGCAATCGCTCTGCACTTCAGCAGCACCGGGAAGAAAGAATGAGACTAAGAAGCATTTCCTAGCAGGAGATGCTAGGAAGCAGGAGAACAGGGATGCAGACGGGCTCTTCAGCCCAACTCCGACACTCTGCTTCCCTCAAACATCAGGAGCTAAGGGCAAAACCCACGGGAGTCAGGGAACAAAATCAAGGCTTTGAGCAAAGCCACCCAGGACGATTTCCGCAGAATTATTTTTAATTCAGAGATTCAGCTTCACTAAAATGTAAACACTTCACAGTAGATCTAAGTTTTACTTAGGTACCAGGTAATCAGGGTACCAAAAGCCCAAAATAAAGCATACCAAGAGAGGACTTCTGTCAAAGAACCCGCACTCTGTAAATTAAAAAAAAAATGTTTTGTTTTAGACTGGAGCAGAAACTCCCTTCCCCACAGAACTCTAGATATCAAGGAACTCACCCCCCAAAACATCAGGCCTACTGGAAGAAGTTACCAGAGTATTTCTGTCTTACTGAGATGCAACTGCAAACCTTGGAGGCAGGACGCTCTTGCCCTCACTTCTGAAAAATTATTGTCCCTTTCTCCATTTAGCTGGAACAATTTCCATTTATTTGGGCGTTACTGTCAGATGAATACCAGGTCTAACTAATATTCTGATTTGTGAATGTATACTATGGCGAAAGCACTGAATATTGGTGAAACCCAAATACAATACAGGCAAAACCCTGTTGGAAGGTCACTTTAACATGAACTCAAGATCCAATTTTGGGCATCTGAGAAATTACTGAAAATTGAGAAATGGCATTAGCAGAACATTAACACGCTTTGATTCAAATATCCCAAAACTCAGTCTATAAAATGCACATACAGCACCCTTGCTCGGGTACTATTACAGACAAATTACAAAATTGTTTAATCCTATTTTAAGGATTTAGTTCATGTGCTGGAAATAGCCAGTTGCGTTTTCGCACCGCTTCGCTGCCCTGATATATTTTAGTGGAAAAACCTACTGTACCCTTTGAGGGGGGGTGATGACTTTTTAATTGCAAAACAAATGCCTAAAGATATTTTGTGAGAGCAGATGCCAGGGAGAGAAAAAAAAATGACACAAGCCACTCCTCCTTACACTTCCTGCAAGCAATCTGCATATATATATGCAGATATATATTTATTCCTTCTATAGGAGGGAAAATGGACTGCTATTCTCTCTCTGTTTATCCCTAGCATGGAATTAGTTAGCATTTCTGGAATTCTGTAACTTTTATTAAACTAAATTCCATTCAAGCTCCATCAGTGAAGAGGTCTCTTCCTAGCAAAACAATCTTTTCCTCATTCTGAGCAAGAATACTAGATGAGATCCCAAAAGAATTTAACATTTTTTCCTTACGAAACAGGGTAAAAATAGGCACTCTGGTACTGCCTTGCAAGTATTTATAACCTTCCTGGTAGTAGGAACAGAACTATTTTTCAATAGTATAAAGCAAAAAAGAAACTGGATTATCATGTATGAGAAAAACCTTTTAGGAGGGGATTCAGAAAAGCCATCTGTTGCAACAGTGTTCTAAAAATAAGTTAACTTGGAGGCAAACAAATTCTGTGCTCCCATTTCCAAGAGATCCCGGTGCATTTTCTCTCTCCCTCCGTCGTTCTGCAAACGGAGGAACGTGCACGTAGGGCCAGCCCTGAGCAGATGGTTACCTTCATTTAAGTAGGACACATGGTAGGGGCTCAGGGTGCCTCTGGACCAAATTAATCCTGCAGATAATTCCATCGAATTTCATTTGTGGGGCATTTGGCCCACTGCCCTCAGGAAGCCATTTCCCACTACCTCTGTATAAATATATGCCAATGTAATCAGTGAGAAATGTGGTCAAAATCCCGTTAGGAGCCAAGAGCATTTAACACCCATTTGCAATGTTGGAAGCTTTCTTAAAAGGTAGACGACAAGAGAGAACAAGGACCTTCGTGCCCAAGTGTGACTAAATAAACCTATTCGCTATTCCCCACCATCTCAGGCAGTTACGATTAAGACACAACCCTCAGCAACTATTCTTAGCCCGGATTTTTCTTTAAACACGGTGTTACAATTGGATAAGCACTTTCACTATGACTGAGCTGTAAAAATAATAAGCTTTTAGCTGCTTTAGCCTTTCAGATGTTTCAAATGCAAAGAACATTTGACATGCAGCTTCAAAGTTAATCTTGTTTTTTTAATCTTTGCTTTTAAATGGGAAAAAAATCAGTAGCATTACTTTGTTGCTGTATGGTTTCATTTATTTTTAATCAAGTGTGTTTCATCCCTATAGCATGATTAATTAACAAAGTTAATTAGCGACTACAGCCAACCTACAAGAAAACAAAATCTTCTCTGAGGATTTGAAAAAAAAATAAAGCACGTTCATTGAGAAGTTCTTATGTTCACTTTTGAAAAATTACCACAGGATAAGAGGTTTACAAAAATGTGCTTTGAAAGGGCAGTTTATGCACTTAAGTTGGCCAATTCACACTAAAAATTCCCAGCCTGGGACTCTGCAAAGAGATAATCAGAGGAGCCAAACCCGGACTCGGTGGTACCTTCCCAGGCGGAATCCGGCTCCGGAGGGAAGGAGGGTGTTTCAAGCCTTCTTGTCGCTGCTCAGTTGTACAGTAGTTGTCCGAGCAAAGCAAAGACTTCAGGCAAGCCCAGTTTGTGCAGGAAAACCCACAAACGTTCAAAGTAACCCTGCAGCATCCTAAATTCTCCTTAAAATAACATTTGTCCTTCAATCTGCTTTCACATCTGCTTGACTCGTTCATCTACGAGACAAAACCTGCACCACAGGACTCATCACGGTTAACTACCACAGCTCAAACATTTTACCTACAAATTACCAGTCATTTTAACTTTAACATGGTGGATGAACGCACGACTCCCTGAACACGCTATTTTCCTTAGTTTTACTTCTTTAAACTAGTATTTTACATTCCTACAACAAGATAAAAAAAATCTCTAGCAATGAATTCCACCTGCCCACATTTTATATTAGGATTTTCATTTGTATTTTGGAACCTCAGATTCAGAACCTCTTAGAGGCAGATTTTGCCTCTCCATTCAACACAGCTTCTTAATAGATCTATGAAACTTAGATTCCCTTATTATGATCTGAATTATATCTTTTTTTTTTTTTTTTTTCTGCAGAAGAAGTTGGGATATATTGTCAGTGATAAATAACAGTATTAGATTTCTAATGAAAAAAATCATTTTTAACGAAGAAAAAGGATGTAATCAAAAGTCAAAAAGACTGTGTCTTAGAAACATCAC